GTGTGTGTTTGTGTTTGTCGGGGCAAAGAGGACGACGTTCAGACCCAATGTTGACGCAAAGGTAAAGCACACACACACACATACACATATACACATAACACACACACATGCATACACGAACGCGGCCACGCAACAAGACGAGTGGCATTCACATACATCCTTGTCCAGGAGGCCGGATGGGCAGTCCTTTGTGAACGCCTTGTACCATTGCTGCAGCTCCTGCGAGGTGACTGCCATTGCGGAAATACGTACCGTTGTGTGTGTGTGTGTGCGTGTGTGTGTGTGAATGCGTGTGTGTGTGTTGTGTGTGTATGTGTGTGTGTGTGTGTAAGTTTAACAGGAATCGGTTGCATAAAACGACAAAGCAGCACAGCACATCCACACGGACACACATGCACACATGCACACACAAACACAACAGCACCAATTCGCACACACACACAAACAACACACTTGCACAGGGTGCACTGCCAAAGCACTGAGCTTACATTTTGTCTCACTGACGAGCTCGTCAATCTGCTGTGGCTTGAGCTTGCTGCTTCCCTTGCCCATCTTGGCTGTGTGTGTGTGTGTGTATGTGTGTGACAATCGACAACAGACGCGAACACCACGACGAGTGAAGCTATCTGCAAAAAGTGTGGCAGTGCAAAAAGTGTGGCAGTGTAAACAAGGCATGTGAGAGGGACGATAAAGAGAGAGAGTGTGTGTGTGTGAACAGAACATGCTTTCAGGGCAGGAGCCACCGTGTCGCCATCATCACCAGTCTGAGCAAACAGGAAGCAAGCAACCCACGATCCACCCACACACACACCCATCCCCATCCGCCGTCAGCGTCTCTCACCTTGAACAACAAAAACCGAATAATTGCACGACATCGTCAGGGACATTTGATTTCGTGCTGTCGCAAACTGTTGTGACTGCGTTGGGGCAATATGGAGGCGGTCGTGACTCGGGTGTGGGATGATGTGGGTCGTCCCATCAACGCCAGCAAGCGCATCCAGGTGTGTGTGTCTGTGTGTCTCTGTGTGTGTGTGTGTGTGTGTGTGTGTGTCTGTGTGTCTGTGTGTGTGTGTGTGTGTCTGTGTGTGTGTCTGTGTGTGTGTCTGTGTCTGTGTGTGCGTCTGTGTGTGTGTGTGTGTGTGTGTGTCTGTGTGTGTGTGTGTCTGTGTCTGTGTGTCTGTCTGTGAGTGAGTCCACTTTGTGTGTGTGTGCGTGTCTATGAGCGAGTCCACTTCGTGTGTGGTCTGTCTGCTTCTTGTCACGTCGTTCATTCCACTTGTTCCAACTGTTTTTGTTTCATTCGCAGTACACGGCTGTTGCAAGCGCACCGCAGTGTCTGGCTGTGGCATCCAACTCGGGATCGCTCTACTGCTTTGACAGATCGTCCACAGCTCACAAACTCGCAGCAGTGCTCAACATTGAGGTGAGAACATCACTCCACTTCGCGCGGCCAGTGACCCTCGCACCTCACATACTCACACTCACGCACACACGCACCTCACATACTCACACTCACGCGCACACGCACCTCACATACTCACACTCACGCGCACACGCACCTCACATACTCACACTCACGCGCACACGCACCTCACATACTCACACTCACGCGCACACGCACCTCACATACTCACACTCACGCGCACACGCACCTCACATACTCACACTCACGCACACACGCACCTCACATACTCACACTCACGCACACACGCACCTCACATACTCACACTCACACACGCACACACATGCACACGCACACACACGCACACACACGCTCACCTGCGCACTTGCTTCTTGAACGACAATTGGCAGCAAGGGCATATTACGGCCGTCAGCTTCTCTCCAGATGGAACTTATCTTGCAGCAGGCACAAAGTGAGTCACACACCCCCATCTGCGACATGTCTGGCTCGTTTGCACACAGCGTGACTTGTAACCACATGACTCACTCTTGTTGTTGTGTTGCACCAACGCTAACCGCTGCTCTCGCTCAAGATCCGGTCATGTCATTGTGTGGAGCATCGACTGGCACAATTCACCACTCCGTCCAAAGGTGCGGCATGTATCATGCTGCTAAGTGCAGCAGTAGTTGTGTTTGTGGTCGCGGTCATCATGTTCGCGTTTGTGTCTGGACCCCAATCCACGTCACACGTACACATCTGATTGCATCGTCTGCTGCAGAAAACGCGGGACACGGCTGGTGTGCACAAGGGCCACGCCATCACGAGCTTGTGGTGGGCGCCACATGCCGCCAAGCTGTTTGCTGGCGATGAGAACGGCGGCGTATCTGAGGTTGCACTCTCACGCCGCATGAAGGTCCAGACCACGATCATATCCACAGACGAACGCATCGTGCAGCTGGTGAGGGAAATGATTTTGTTTGCGAGTGTGGATGATGAATGCAGGCGCGTGTGTGAGTGTGTGGATGATGATGATGATGATGTGTGTGTGTGTGTGTGTGTGTGTGTGTGTGTGTGTGTGTGTGTGCAAGAACAGCAAGAGTGGTGTTCTTGTGTTCTTGACCGTGCTCAACCACCTACTCTCACCTTTCCAACCATTGACCATCCCCCTATCAAACACTCACATGCACACACATACTTACATGCACACACGCACACAATCGCACTCATGCATACACACGTACACACGGCATAAGTCTGGCAATCGGCACGTGCTCGTCATCTCCACGACCACACGCGTCCTCATCTACACATTTGCAACGTGAGGGAGAAGGAACTTGCTGGTGGCGGTGTCGCGCGGTGTCGTGATGGTCGTGATGGTGGTGATGGTTGTGGTTGTGGTTGTGGTTGTGGTTGTGCTGTCGTGTCACTGACACAAAACGCCAGGCGGTACTCGCACAGGCAGGGGCGATCATTGTGATCATGCGCGCAAACAAGTACACACTCACCCATTCACTGCATTCATACACTCAGCAATTCACCCTTTCACTCACATTCGCTCACACTCACACGTACTCACGCACTCATACACACACACGCACTCACACACTCACACACTCATACACACACATACACATTCGCCTCCGCCTCTCGCGTGCTGTCGACAGGAGGGCGGCGGGACAGCTCGGGTCAAAGCTGAGGGATGGCCTCTTTGGCGCAGCCGTCGCTGAGGTGACAATGATGGTGGTGGTGGTGGTGGTGGTGGTGGTGGTGGTGGTGGTGGTGGTGGTAATGCGTGGGAATGCGTGGTGGGTCACCCTGCGTACTCGCTCGCTTTCCGTCCCTCACTTATTCTCTCAACCACGCGCACACTTCACACGCCTTTACACAACACGTGCATGCATCACATACGCGTGCGTGTGCGTGTGCGTGTGTGTGTGCAGCCGTTAGTGGAGGGAACTGCGTCGTCGCTGCTGTTCTCCGCCCGGCCAGGATCGCGTCTCTGGGAGGTGATGATGATGATGATGATGATGATGATGATGATGACGATGATGATGATGATGATGATGATGATGATGATGATGATGATGATGATGATGATGATGATGATGATGATGAGCCACCGTGATGGTGGTGCTTGTGACCAGGAGCAGACCTGAATGTTGTCGTGTTACTTGCTTGAGCAGATGCCACTACCAACAAACGTTGGCACCATTGCAACTCACGCATTCTTCACACCGACCATCAACCATGCCCACCGCCATCAGGCGACGACCGACGGCACTGTCCTGGCGACAATCAAGTTCAAGGACATGCTCAAGGGCTCATCGTCACAGCCGGTAACGCAACACACGCATGCAATGTTGACACAAATACACACACATGAGCACACATACACATATTTACACATGAACGCACACAAAACTGAACCTGCATGCACATGCGTGCACACATCAACACACATCAACACGCACTCACACATGCACACAGCAAGGCGTTCATATGTGTGCGTTCTCTCGCCTCTTACCACCCCGTTTTCAATGCCTCCTGCTCGCCCCTAACTTCCGACATGCGTGCAGTGGAGCGTGGACCCCGCGCACTCGTTTCCGTCGTGCCTGCAAGCAAAACCGCTCTCGCTCGCTTTTCGCACCGTGCACACGCTGCACCATCCGTCCAACGTCACTGCCGCTTCCACGACAGCAGCACACGCAAATCCCTCCCGCCCGCGCGACGACGGCTACCAACACCAACACCAACAGCATCCAGATCAACACCAACAGCAACAGCAGGATCAGAAGAAGGACTTGGTGCTTGCATGGGGCGGGGCAAATGCAGTCCTCCTTCTTGATCCAAATGGACCTGCCGTTCCATTTTGGTCGACGGCATTTGGCGACATCATCGACGTTGCGCTTGCAAACAACAACACTCTCTCCATCCTCAGTGAGTTCTGTGTGTGTGTGTGTGTGTGTGTGTGTGTGTGTGTGTGTGTGTGTGTGTGTGTGTGATGTCGTTGGTGGGCCTCGTGATGTGTGTACTTTGTTGACGCTTGCACCCACGTTGCCCAACCACCCATGCTGCTGCATTTTACTGCCGAATGCCTGCAGGCATGACAAAGGACCACGCCCCCCTGGTTGTGGACGTGCTGTTTGCGCCGCCAGAAGTGGCAGCACGCGCTGCATTTGATGCGGGCGCTCTCGACATCACGGGAAAGGTGTGTGTCTGTGTCTGTGTGTGTGTGTGTGTGTCTGTGTCTGTGTGTGTGTGTGTGTGTCTGTGTGTGTGTGTGTGTGTCTATGTCTGTGTGTGTGTGTGTGTCTGCGTGTGTGTCTGCGTGTGTGTCTGCGTGTGCAGACTGCCACCTCAGCCGCCCTGGTGCCGTTACGTGATGCTGCTTGGTGCACTGTGCTTGTTTTGCAGTCCCAATCCTCACCCCCTTCTGCCCGTTCTGTTCCCCTCTCCCCCCACACCTGTCTTCTTTGCAGCTCCTGGCACGCGGGTGGGCTCGGCCCTCACCATCATCGCCACCGTCACCGTGGTCACCGCCACCGCTTCGTCGGCTGTTTGATGTCGATGACATATCCGCTGTTCGTCGCAGCGCCGATCCCAGCGATGACCAGGTGTGGCCTGCTCTCTTCGTGACTGTGTGCGTGTGTGTGTATGTGTGTGTGTGTGTGCGTGCGTGGTGTGTGTGTGTGTGTGCGTGTGAATGTGTGTGTGTGTGTGTTCCTTGCCCTCTTTGTGGTTTTTTTTAATCCCCACTGACACCTTTTCATCTGTGTTGCATTGTCGCTTCCCAAGGTCGTGATTGCGCTGAACGCATACGCGACGGCGCTCATGGCTCAGAACAGCGAACAACAACAACAACAACAACAACAACAACAACAACAACGACACCAATCGCAGCCCACAGCTGCCGACCAAAGACCAGCTCAACCAGAGAGTCGTGATGAAGGTGCTGGTGGTGGTACTCGCGATGAGCAGCACGTGGATGCAGCAGTGAATGCGACACCCGACACAACAGCACCTGTCATCGATGACGCGTTAGAACCTGCTGATCATGGTGATGGTGGTGATAGTGGTGGTGGTGGTGGTGATGATGATGATGCATCTGAGAAGGCGCGCAATGCTGTGCAGCCACATGACACCACGACCACGATCGCATCTGTTACCAGTGATGGTGGTGGTGGCAAGCACGAGGCGACGCAATCCACAGCAGAAGCAACAGCTGGTGTTCCTGCTGCTGCTACCACAGCGACAGCAGCACCCACTGCTGAAGGCAGTGCGATGGCGCAAGTGGCGAGTGGTGGTGTGGGCGCGGGTGAGACGGAGACACTTGTGGCGGTGAAGGGAGAGGGGAAGAAGGGAAAGAAGAAGAAAGACAAGAAGGACAAGAAGGACAAGACGAAGAAGAACAAGAAGAAGGAGAAGAAAGGAAAGAAGGATATGGAGGGGGCTCAGGAGGAGGAAGAGGAGCAGCAGCGAGGGAAGACCAGCAAGGAAGAGGAAAGCGGGGAGGAGCACAAGACGCAGCAGGACGACGAAGAGAAAAGTCACGCCGAGCAGAAGATGTCGACACAAGGAGATGAGCGTTCGATGGTGGAGGCTGATGGCGTGACAGAAGGTGGTGGGGACAAGACAACAGCAACAAAGATAGCAGAAGAGGGTGAAGGTGCAACTGTCGCTGCCGATGGTGGTGATGCTGATGCCCATCGTGATGGTGGTGGTCACAAGGGGAAGAAAGGCAAGAAAGACAATCAGGAGGGGAAGCGCAAGAAGGCCAAGAAGAAGGAGAAGCAAGGGAAGCAGGAGCAACAGAAGGGCGAGGTGGCTGGTGGTGTGGAGCAGACTGGCACACAGGGAGCAGAGCACGAACGAGGCGTGACAGCGGGCGCAACTGTGCAGGTTATGACGAACAAACCAGCACCACCAGCACACGTTGGCAAGGAGGGCGGTGCGGCCGCGTCCAGCGATGTGGAGGTGATGGCACGCCAGGAGGAGCGAGAGGAGAACAAGAAGGAGGAGGAGGAGGAGGCGAAAGACAAGGGACGTGAGAAGGTGGTGCAACAACAGGAGCAACAACAACCAAAGCAACAGCAACAACAGGAGCAACAGGAGTCGAGGAAGACAAACAAGAAGAAGAGCAAGAGGGACAAGAAGAAGGCAAAGAAGAAGAAGGCAAAGGAGCAAGCGCACCAGGAGAGCAAGGAGGAGAAGAGGGATGAGCAACAAGGCATCCCACGTCAACTCGACCACGCGGAAGAACGCGAGAAGCGCGGACACGAGGAATCGGCTCCTGTTGCCACGACAGCAACAGAAGCAGAGGCAACCACGCCCAGTAAACCTGAACAGCAACAACAGCAGCAGCAGCAGCAGCAAGTGGGAGTGGAACTCAGAGAGGAAGCGGCAACGACTGGCACGGCAGACACTGCACCGGCTGTTCCAGATGGCGGTGAGCACGCGCCCGTCAAACCATCAGAGGCGCCAGCGGCAACCGAGGCGGTGGCGAACGATGACGTGGAAGGGGAGGGACCAAGCAGCGACGACACGCAGCAGATTGGCAGCGTTGCTGAGCAGGAGGAGGCGGTCGTGTCGCAAGGAGCAACTGCTGGCACTGCTGGCACTGCTGACACTGCTGACGCGCAACCTCCATCCCCCCTGGCTCCTCGTGCTGTCATCGACGAGGAAGACACGTCCATGGTGGTGATGATGACCGAGACAGTGACAGCAACAATGACAACAACAGCAGCAGCAGCAGTGGGCGTGGTGGACACTGCGACTGATGTAAGTGGTGCTGTCATCTTTGAGCTCGAAGAAGAGGTGGAAGTGGCGATGAACACGACTGCTGTGATGGACGACAGTGCTGACGGTACCAGCACACTTGGCGCCACGACCACGAACACGACGAATTCGAGTATGGTGACGAGCAATCATACGCATGCGATTGAGACAGCGACAGCAGCAACAACGACGACACCAGAAGCAGCACGCGCTCATGAGACAGCTGCGGTTGTGACTGAACCAGCACAAGCTGTGGGTGCTGATGCCCACGAAGCCGAACCATCACAAGACACGGAGGGAGCAATGGAGATGCCTGAAGTGCA